GGCGCCGGGGGTCTCCTTTGGGGAGCTGGGAGCAGAGCCGGGGGAAGACCCGGAGGATGACCGCGCGGCCCGTGGGGACACCAGCGCAGTAATGCCAACATGTAAGTCTCCCCGTCGTCTCAGATTCCGTCACACCTTTACCTGTGCGCCCCCCTCCCCCGCCCCCCTCCACCAAGTGATTTGGTGAGGACTTCCACTGTATGGACCAAATAAACCGGTTTGTCTTCAGTGTGCCCCCAGGCCCTGAGGCATGAGCTGTGACATGTGTGAGTGTGTGTGTGTGGCTTGCTTTTTTTCCAGGGAGAGGTAAACCTCATATTTGGGCGGCGTAAAGCATAATAAAAAAGGGCAGGGCTTCAAGAATGGGGAAAGCGTGTTTTCGATTCAAATTGAACAAGGAGTAACAGGCCGGGCGCCTGCGTCCAGGGGCCTTGCTCTGCCAAGAAAGCGCTCTCCTGGATCAACACCTGGGGCTTGGAAGGTACCGGTATGCTGAGAAAATGTTGACTTTACACATTGTCACCCTGGACTGGAGGAGTTATTCTTGGATCTTTGGGTTATTCAAATGGTTTTTAAAAATCGGGCAGAAAAGGTTCTGGGTTGTACTTGGTAGATTTAAAAAGTCATTAAGGAATATGTCATTTATGTGATGGGCTCTGCGGGGGGGACTTGTATAGAATTAGAAGTGTGGGGGAGGGTATAGGGCAAAGAGAAGGTTATAATAATAGGTTTTGTTTCTATGGAATTATCATCTAAGTGGTGAGGTGCCTCAGAGCAACCCTGCAGAAGGGCCACCGCGCACCGCCTGGCCTTCCAGAGAGGAAAAAAAAAAGGAAGGTTGTTCTCAAAAGAGCCAGGCTTATTTTTGTGGCCAACTCAGAAGTTACTTTTTCTTGTAATATGTAATTTTACCCCTGGTGTTTTATTTAACCTTGGGCAGACACCCTGATAGACTTTTTCTCCCTCCCACTGACGAAGATACAGGAGTTTCTAGAAATTGATAGTCACCCTACCTCCCCCAACTACTGGATCCTTGTTTATTTCCATTTAAATTCCCTCTTTCATTTACTACCTGCAAAAAGACATACCCGCTCAGGCCCTGTCTTTCCCTTCCTTGCACCTTCACCTCCCAGTCTCCCTAGTACACATTTTTAAAATAGGAGCAAGAGCAATGACCGCAAGCCTAGTAGTCTGTAGCTCTGTTCCTGGTAGTGGCCGGTACAGTTAGAAGGGAACTACTTATTTTTATTAAAATTGCATGTGAAGTCATTCTTCACCTGTGAACTTTAAAGTTTCACTTATGCCAGTAGAATCGTTAAGGTATAGACTGAATTTATTTTGGGATACAGCCAACAGTCTCATATAAGAGTTGTTCTCATACAAAGGTGACGCATTTTTAATGAATGTGAGTTTGTTCTAAACCTCAGTTTTTCCTGAAAGTATACTAGGTTTTTAAACAGCAGATATTTGTCTAGCTTACTTTCAGCTCTCCTGGTTATGTACATCTTTGGGGGGGGGGGGGGGCGGGGGAAGCATGTTATACGTAAAAATAAAATATGAGTACCAATTTTTGAAATAAAAGATGTGAAAATGGTCAACAGGTAATGGACAAATGTCCTGATTATGAAATGAAGTTATGTAGTCCATTTGAATTTGCACATGATTAAAAAATCTTATGTCATTATAGAGTGAAAGCATGAATATTTAATCACATAAAATATAGAATTTAGTACGTTGATTGAGTTCTTTATTGAGCTGTTTTGGCTGGAAGTTTTTCTATTTCTTGACAGATAACTGTTTCTTTTTTCCATTTTGCTGTTTATAATTCACATGGAATGGTTTAAGATGCTCCGATTCTTTTTAGATATTAGTATGTTAGAACATATAGAAATAACACCAACCTTTCCAATGTAAATATTTCTACTGTCTTCTTGAAAAAAAGTTAAAATGAGAAACAAACTATGTTACCTTTTAAATTTTAATAGATTCAAGTATACAAGCTAATTATATTTTCTGCCTACTACTTATGGAGAAAGAATATTTATATATCATTACACTCAAGTTCTGAAATTGTGGACTTTTATAAATATATTTTGGAGTTGTAGGGACTGCATGTTTTTCATACCCTAGGGAATTTAGTAGGTTTAACAAGACTTGCATTAATTGGTCTCAAGCTGCATGAAGCTACTGTTCCATTTATGGCTTATATAAATTACATGACATTGTGCTTTTCCAAAGTGAATGGTGAATGAGGCTATTGTCTCTTGGCTTATGGGAAATATTAGAAGCTTGTAGTTTTACTGCCTAACTGGACACGTCACTCTGATTTCTGGAAATAATGATTTGAAAGAGAATCAGTTTATATATTAAAAATAAACTTACAGATGCTTCCTTAAACCTGACCATTTTTTAACTGCCCATATCTTCCAGAGTTTATATTTATGATGTTTTGATTAAAAGTTTCTAAATACAATTTAGATTTTAGACTAAATAGAAAAAGACTTTGTTCAATGTGTGTGGCATGCTTGGGCAAAAACTGTATCTTTCCGTGTTCATTTCCAATTGGATGACTATTACATTATCTACATTGGATGCATACTGAGGAGATAGCATTTAAGGGATATTTCAATTGTAACTGAAAATGCCAATAAACCAAGTGTGGCTACCTGAGTATTAGCCTACTTTACTTTATAGGCATTACTCAGGATGGAAGTATTTCGTTTTCTTCAAGTTTACTGTATTTAAAACATTTATAGCAAACATGACAAAGGTTTAACATGGTTAGTATAGAATTGGTAAAAAAAATTACAAATCAGTAAGAAAACCATTTATATGTAACAGAACATTATACAAATAACTTCAACATGCCAATCCAAATAAAGGAAATTCAAATGAGACACTTCTTCTATCAAACTAGCAATGATTTACTCAATAGCAATGAATGTGTCATAAGATAAACATTGATACACTTCAGTGTAAATGCATAGGTGTGTATTTAACTGTACTTAGGAATAATTTTAAACCTACAGAAAAGTTGCAAGAATAGTACAGAGAACACCTGTATGCTTTTACACAGAATCACTTATTAAAAATATTTACATCATTTATTTTATCACTTTCCTTCCTTTCTTCTTCCCTCCACCCTGTACACACACACACACACACACACACACACACACACACACAATTTTCTTTGCAAAACATCTGAGAGTAAGTTACATACATCAGGGATTTAGGGTGACTTCTTAATTGAAAATTTTGTATTTGTAGATTCACATGCAGCTGTAAGAAATAATACTGATAGATCCTGGGTGCGCTTTACCCAGTTTCTCCCAGTGGTAACATTTTGCTCTAGCATAGTGTCACAACTGCATGTACTCGTGTGTGTGTGTGTGTGTGTGTGTGTGTGTGTGTGTGTGTATTTCTCAAGGGTGCCTTTTAATTTCACCTATGATACAAGCCAGTTATGCATGTTACAGCTCAAGTAAGAGTCAAGATTTGTACAGATTTGAAGAATAAACCCTCCCCCCTTTTTGAAGCAGGATGATCCCAACTTAATAAACAATCTTGAGTAATAGAATAGCATCTCCCTTTTCATTCATTGCTTAGACTCAGGAACATGATCTTTAACCAGAAGAAAAAATACAATTAGAAGCAGACTTGAATAAACCAAATTTCCATTGTTTTCACTCTGGAAGAATTAAGGCATGCTCTATGCTACTCCTCACACCCCTTTATGAAAGGGTTTGCCAGGGAAATTCATTTGGGACATGGAGAATGAAGTTAATTCTAATTATTGCTGATATTAATAGACCTAGTAGCATATCAATTTCTCTACTAATTTCAGTATTTATTCGCTAATTTCTCTTTAAACTGTGATGTTTAAAGGAGCTGGTAGGAGCAAATAGATGAATGATGGTTGGTTTTTTAGATTATTTCAGCGATGAATTTGGATTAAATCATGCCCACAAAGGGTTGTACCCACCTTTAAAACAGTTCATATGAAAGAGTTAAGTTTTCAAGCTTCCCGAGATAGGACTCAGGCATGTTGTATTTTGTAGCCTTTACAGATAGAAAAGGAGAAGCGAGTTTGCAATCGAGGTAGTTTGGTTTTCAGAATGACAGGTGAGTTGGAAGCCAGGTGACATGGGGGCAGGGAGGTCTTTTGGCTCTGTAACCACTGATTTTTTGGGGGGGGCAAGTGGTTTATCATTATATAGTTCTTTCACCTGTGAAATGATAGGTTTTATTGGGTAATTTTTAGATTCTTTTCAGATTATAAAGTCTGTGACTCTCTTCTACTGAAAAATATCCTTGCTTTCTTCAATAGAACTTGGAGGTCACAACCCAAGTGACACAGATTGTACTATGTTTTTTTGTAGTTTTTACTTAGAACCCTAGTAACCCTGTTTGGGATTTTCCATTCTTGTGAGAAAATTGTTTAAATCTCAGGGATGTGTCTTTGCTAAATGATCCCCTGAGAAGACACACAGTGTTTTCCTTCCTCTGTTCTATTCTTAATTTATTTGTTTCTGTTCTTTAGTAAACAGTAAAGTGGACAAAAGTTGGCGTGTCATATGGTTTATGTTTGGTTACAAGTACTTGCCCTGTCCTGCGTGCGTTTTCTGTGCAGAATGGTGGAGTCTTCAGAACTGGAATGCATCAAGCCCTGGGTTGTCTGACAGGGCTGCAGGCAGCTTTTGTAAAACAACTTCAGGTTTGGATATGGAATCCATAAATGTCACAACCTTTTATAGTTGAAGAAAGTTGTGTGAGCACGTGAAATAAACAGGATTGAGTGTTGCCAAGCTAATGAATGTAATTCACTGAATCCTGTTCAGAGAGCATTTGAACTGAAAAGGGACCATAAGTCACATGTCGATAGGAAATTGTCACATGGGACTGAGATTAAGAAGCCGGGCCTTCTCCTGGGTATTCTCTTGGGCGTTCCCCCTTCTGTTAATATCTGTAAGGCTGACAAGCCAAGTTTGATTGGTCTGCTCTGGGCTTCAGTTTCCTCCTCTGTGAAACGAGGAGGTTATACTTCATCTTTGGTCCTCTCAGATCAAAACTTCTTTGGATATAGAATTGTGCTTTTGTCTTAGAAGCACAGTCATTCATCTTCAGCATGAATGGGAAATACCTCATTCATCCAGCATCAATGGGAAATGGACACATTCATCCAAATGAGTAAATTTTCTATGTGACAGAAGTTTATCATTTACCCTTTTTAAAGTCCTTACTAAGTGTCAAGTCGTGCTATCGCTAGTTCTTTTTGGTGGATAATTGGAAGAAAAATAGGCTCAGAGTTTTGCCTCACAAACCACACAGTAAATAGAAGCTCCAAGATGTAACTCTGTGATAGTCCACAGTTCACATCCATTATTATGATGATGACTTACTCTACTAGATTGCTTCTCATAAGCAGTTGCACTGCTCTTAATTTCAGATATTTTGGGTGGATGTATTTAAAAACATACCTTTCATACAAAAAACATCTTTAGAACTTAACCCTTCCCTAGTTAAGAATTTCCATTAGGGGCTGTATGATGCTGGTAATTCTACTTTGGTGAATATAAAATCATGGCATGAATATGAGACACTACTTGAAATTTTTGTATTCAAGGCCCAATGAATCATTTATTTTATTTCTGATCCCAGAGGTAGCCATGAAGTCAGTTCATTGGTGTTGGCTTATGGCATTAATCCTGTTGTCCATTCTTATTTTAAGTCTTTTCTTTTGATTTCACTGTGCAGAATGGTGGAGTCTTGGTTGACGGAATAACCACACTTATATTAGTATGCCTGGTATGATGGTTATAATAATAACTAATACTTATTGACTGCTTACTGAGCATCAGTCACTATCCTTAAAAGACATGGTCTGATTTAATCATCCAACAACTCTATGGATTAAATTCCATTGCTGTTCCTAACTTGCTGATGAAAAATAGTAGATACAAGGTGGTCCGGTAAATTCCCCCAGGGCTACATAGTTTATAAGTAACAAAGCCAGGTCCATCTGAGTCTAGGGTATGTTCCTTTTGCTACTTAGATGGTCTCTAACCAAAAAAATACAGATTGAAATGCATGCTTGAGATAAGTGCAAGAATCATTTGATGTCTGTTTTTGCTTGAGTATTTATTTCTCTTTCCACTTTTCTGGTATCCTGTTTAGTATTATATATTTTACTCCAGATGAGCCACCTTCAGCTAAAGAAAGTATCACAGTTGACCTTTGACCAGTATGGGTTGGAACTGCTTGGGTCCACTTATATGCCAATTTTTAAAAAATAAATATATATATACAATCGGCCCTTCATATCTCTGGTTTCCCATCTGAGGATTCAACCAACTCAGATAGAAAATAGTATTTTTGATCTGAGGTTGGGAATCTGGGGTGCATAAGGCCGACTGGATGCATTGTTCCACACCAGTTTATATAAGGAACTTGAGCATCTGTGGATTTTGGTATCGTTCCAGGGTCCTGGAACGAATCCTCCGAGGATACTAAGAGACAACTGTGGTTAAGATTTTGGGGAGTCATAAGTTATGCATGTATTTTTGACTGCACAGTCAGCAGCACCCCTACCCTCCTGGGTTGTCTAAGGCTCAACTGTACTGTGACCCCTAGGTTTCTTATTAGTTGCCCCTCTTTTGGAAGTAAAATGACTCTCAATTACCACTTACAATCAAAGTAACTAACTCTTTTTGGGGAGTTAAGATCTGGAGATTTCTTATTACTACTCATGTATCCTCATGCTTTGTGACTCTCTTGTCATTAGTTCATTTAGGGTCCCCTTTGGTGACTGACTTTTATACTTGCTCCTTCACTGACTTGCCTCTTTTGATGGGGTTGAGTCAATGAAAAATAACAAACCACTATTTTGAGCAAAGATAATATGGCTGTTCTTGTCTAAATCATTATTAAGTATAACTTTGAGTTTAAAGACAAGACCATTAGATATACAGAGAATTATTTGAGAGTTTTCAAAGCACCACCCCTCCATGTAATGTCATTTACTAGTTTCTGTAATACACTGATAACTAGATAAAGACATTAATTAATCTTGTTGGATGTTAATGAATCAATGCTTTGTTTTAGGGGCAATTTAATTTAATTTCAATTGTCTCCATTTGTGAAGGAGCAGATGTTATACAGTGAAAATATTTTCTTAAAGTCTGAATTTCTGGAAGATTATAGGGGATGTTGATATAATTGTCCTCTTGCCACCTCCATGGTCATGTGATGCTAAACTCTCAAATTGCTTTATTTTTTAATATTATTTTTAAATTATATGAATATTTCCCCGTGTTCATTCAGAGATCACCTATTATATATTCTCTGAAAAAGAAGGTGCCACCAGATAGCAAGTAAAATAAATGGATTTTTTTTTCTTTTGCCTAATTAGCATAAAGGAGGTGATTGGTTCATCACCATTATTTAGAAGCAAGACTGAAAAAGGTTTCTATTTGGTGGTTCCTGCTGGAAACCTATACATTTACTGTTATTGTCCTAATGTTTTATTGAATTCTAAGTGTCCTGATTGTTGCTTTCTTCCATCGCAGGATGTTTCGCTCAGGTGGAATGTGGAGCTGTCCCTGGAAGTGGAAGCCAAGTTCCCTTTTGTTCTTATTTGCTTTATCTATTGTCTGTGTTCCTCACTCAGGTGAGTAAGACTTTTTCTTTTTGAAGCCCCCACTTTAATAATTGTCTTCAGTTTCAGAGTACTATTTGTTTAAGTAACCTCAACTTTATTTGTTGTCTTTTTTTTCCCCATTTCTATCCTTAAGGCTTTTTTTTCCCATTGCCTCTCATTCCTCTCTGAATTTTATGTGGATAGTATCACTTTGATCATTGTTTTATTTTCTAATGAGTATATTTCTTTAATTATCGTTGCATTTCTTTTAGCTTTATTTATTTATCTAGCTTGTGTTGAGTGATGAGATAGCTACATATCTGACATTAAAAATGTACTAGCTGTTCTTCTACTATTGAATAAATATACACTACTTAGTTTTTCTCTTTTTAAGTTTTTATATACTTATTTATAGAAAGTATAGACTTTGCTATTTTTATTTGTCCTGATTTTATTGCCATGTATGAGACAGGGATTTGAAATTAAGTTTTTAGACCATGAAGTTTATTTAGTTGAGTTAAAATGATATTAAAATGTTATTTGCAGTATTTTTGGAATTAAAATATCTAATTTTTCCAATTACCATTTTTTTTTCCTGAAATTTGAAGCAAGACTCTTTTAGCTGTTGTTGAAAGCTAAATTTTCCATAAACATCTAATTATATAAATGAGCCAGTCAGAACCCAAGGAATGTGAACGATGTTTTTAAAAGTAAACTGCTTCTTCATTATCTGGTTTTGTTACTGAGCAAACTACACTTCTCTTAATTCATTTTATTTTATTCATCTTTTACTGCTTTATTCAGTTTATATTTTTCTTTTGAATAAAATCATTATTCATGAAGTTTATGTACTTATTGCTTGGATTTAACCAAGATTTTATACATTCTATAATTACAATATATCTGTATGTTATAAATAATACATTTAATAAATCACATAAGTAGATTATTTGTTAAAATTGCTTACTTACAGATCAAGAAACTCAACTTGCATTGAATATATAAGTACTGTTTTATAGTCATCAGGTATTTAAGAGTCTCAGCTGCTTGCTTGGAAAACACCTGGCACTTGTTTAATGGCTTCAAAACAAAACTTAACTTTGAGTGAATTTTTTTGCTTTTTTGTTTCAATTTCATTACAAAGTCATTCTTTCTGTTATGTTTATTGCCAGAAAGAGGAAACAAACTTGTAAAGGAATCTGAAAATTACATGTATATTGGACTTTTCGGATGTACATAGTGTTAAACAATTTTTTAACTTTCAAAAGTGATACTCCAAGAACCAATTCCACGATGTAAGATAAATTAAGAAATTAAAATTAGTTGTAGTCTGTTTAGTTTCATTTGTTTTTTTATTGTTTAAAGTATTATAAATAGTAGTACATATGTCTCTTTTTCCCTCCATTGACTTCCCGCCGGCCTCCCCCATCTCCGAGCATATGCCCTCACCCCCCTAAGTGTCTGTGTCCCCTGATTGTATTTCTTTTGTAAGTAGGCTATTATTTACTTTAGTTAACTTGACTATTTTCTTTTCATCTTTAAATTCTGAAATTTCACCAGGATATCTAAATTTTTTTCTCCTCATGAATCCTATGTATTATTAAATAAAATTTTAAAATCTAGACTTGGGTGTTCAGCTTGGAATAATCTTTTATCCTATATCAAATTATTACTCCTCTTCTCCTCCTTCTTTTAATTCTTTATTTCCTTTTGGGATTTTATTATTTACTAGAGGCCTGGTGCACAAAATTTGTGCATGGGGGGGTGTCCCTCAGCCCAGCCAGCACCCTCTCCAAGATGGGACCCCTCAAGAGATGTCCGACTGACCATTTAAGCCCAATCCCAGTGGGCCTAAACTGGCAGTCAGACATCGCTCTCACAATCCAGGACTCCTGGCTCCCAACTGCTCACCTGCCTGCCTGCCTGATTGCCCCTAACCGCTTCTGCCTGCCAGCCTGATCACCCCCTAACCACTCCCCTGGCAGCCTGATAGATGCCTAACTGCTCCCCTGCTGGCCTGATTGCCCCTAACTGCCCTCCCCTGCCAGCCTGGTCGCCCCTAACTGTCCTCCCCTGCAGGCTTGGTCACCTCCAACTGCCCTCCCCTGCCAGCCTGGTCACCTCTAACTGTCCTCCCCTGCTGGCCTGGTTGCCTCCAACTGCCCTTCCGTGCAGACCTGGTCCCCCCTAACTGCTCTCCCCTGCAGGCCTGGTTGCTCCCAACTGCCCTCCCCTTCCTCTTTAGTTTCCATTGCCCTAGGAGCTGTATCAGTAAAGATATTGCTACAACAAATGTCTCCTATTTTGCTGCCTATGGATTCGTCTAAGATTTTTATGGTTTCCACTCTTAATATAGCTACAATCAAAATGCGATGGAAGGTTTCAACAGTAAATTAGGAGAAGTGGAGGACTGAATTAGTTTCATTTTTGTTAGGTCATGGCATTTGTAAATTTCCAAGCCCTCTTTAAACTTTATATTGGGATTTTTATTTTAGATGTCAACTTTTTAATTGATATATGCACATTCATTATTTTAGTCACTTGAATAAATGAAATAAAACATATTTTAAACTAATTCAAAGGAATCGACTATGCTGCAAATAGGAGAGAGGGACGGGAAAGCACCAAGGGTACAAAATTTAAAGAGGCATTCATTCTCAGTGTCATAGGAATCAAAGAACTTAAATATGTTTTTAATTTACTGTTTCACACAATAAACCCCCTTTAACAATTTCTTTAAGTAGCCAACACTTTATATGCACCAGGTAATAATACTTTGTGACAGACAGTTAATGTGTTTACTCATAAATCAGTATAGTTAAAAAATTGCATATTAAAGCTTTAGATAGATCTAATTTTCAAAGTCCTATCTTTAAATCAGAGTGTGCCACCACTATATTTTCAAGAACATTTTCAGAGTCATGGAGTGTCATGCTACATAAAAAGAAGTTATTATTTGAAACACCTTTCAGACATTCTTATCAAATGAAGAAAGAGCCAGAGTAACAGTTCGGTGACTAACAGAAAAGTATAATATTCATACACTCTCACAGTCTCTCTGGCCATTCACTGTGATGGTATTTCTCTATCTATCCACCCTTTGACTTTTTTCATTTCTCTGGATGACCCTTAGGCAATTTTATTGAGTCTAGTAGCTTTAAATGGCATCTTGACGTCAATGTCTGCTAAATCCATATCTTTAACCCTGGCCTCTTCCTGGACCCTGGAGTCACCTCTTGGGTTGCTTAACCTCATGTGCACTTGAATATATAATTGTCTTCAAACTTCACATGTGCAAACAAGATTCCTGATTCCTATCTCTTATTTGCTCCACTCTCAGTCGTTACAGTCCAATATACGATCCTGCCGTCACTATTTTCTAGACCCATTGGCCTTTCTGTTCCTTGACCATGCCTTCTGGACCCTCTTCTTCCTTATCTACACACACTTGGTTCTTTTTTGATACCTAGGTCTTAATTATTATCACCTCAGATAAGCCTTCCTGTTCCTCAATTCAAAGGAGCTGCATTATCACTACCATACTAAGCTTTAGTGACAGTCTGTGGATTTTGTTTGTCTTCTTGGTTGTTAATGCTTTGTTAATTTGACTTTGACAGCCAGGTTGGAGAGTTGGCAAAACCTTTTTAATGGTTAAGATTGACATGTAGTTCAGATGATTAAAAATTAGAATCCTGAGACTCCACCAAGATGGCGGCATAGGTAAACACCGCAGACTGCTGCCGCAAACAACCACTTCAAAAATACAACTAAAAGACGGAACGGACATCACCCAGAACCACAGGAAGGCTGGCTGAGGAGAGACTCTTCAACTAGAAGGAAAAATAACAGCACACCGAGGCTCAGAGGAGGCGCAGTGTGGAAAAAACTCAGGTGCGGAGGTGCGCGCGCAAAGCGGGCTGGTGGCTGAGAGCGCGGTTGTCGTTTTCGGTCAGGGGGGAGTCTCAGACTCTGAGCTCCAGATACGGGCGAATCGCTGGGGACTCGGACCCAAACGGGAGAAGCGGGAGTGTCTGGCATCAGTTGGAAGGCAGCTTTCCCTCCGAGGTTTGCAGCGGTTCCGGGGGTTCTGAGAAGCAGAGCCTCTGGGAACAGGACTGAGGGCACCATAACGGCTCCCTCCGCCCGCCCTGTTGAGCCCGCCCCGCCCAAGCCCTGCGCAGAGCCATTTGCCGGATCGCCTCAGGCAAAGGCTAGATTAGCACCTCCCCAGAGGACAGAAGTTTTCCGCGGCAGACACAGCTGATTCACACAGCCAGTCGGCCTGGTGGTCAAATCCCTCTAGTATTAACTACAACAATCAAGGCTCAACTAGAACAAGACTGCGCACAAAGACCACTAGAGGGTGCACCAAGAAAGCATAAAAAATGCGGAGACAAAAAAACATGACAGAAATGGAGGATATAGAGCTAAAAAACGCAATTTTGAGGGCTTGCAATAAACTTTTGGAGAGCCTCACGAAAACTAATGAGACCCTCGATGCTATGATAAAGAAACAACTAGAAATTAAGCATACACGGTCGGAAATAAAGAATATTACACCCAATAGCAGACCAGAGGAGCCCAAGAATCAAGCCAAAGATTTGAAATGCGAAGAAGCAAAAAACACCCAACCGGAAAAGCAAAATGAAAAAAGAATCCGAAAATACGAAGATAGTGTAAGGAGCCTCTGGGACAGCTTCAAGCGTACCAACATCAGAATAATAGGGGTGCCAGAAGATGAGAGACAGCAAGATATTGAAAACCTATTTGAAGAAATAATGGCAGAAAACTTCCCCCACCTGGTGAAAGAAATGGACTTACAGGTCCAAGAAGCGCAGAGAACCCCAAACAAAAGGAATCCAAAGAGGACCACACCAAGACACATCATAATTAAAATGCCAAGAGCAAAAGACAAAGAGAGAATCTTAAAAGCAGCAAGAGAAAGAAACTCAGTTACCTACAAGGGAATACCCATACGACTGTCAGCTGATTTCTCAACAGAAACTTGGCAGGCCAGAAGGGAATGGCAA